AACTCACCGCTGAGTTAGCGTTAGCTTGCATGACCGGCTCCGTCATGCTGGTTTACCTACAGTATGAGCGCCACAAGCGTCACGTCATGTGACCAATTTTTAATTCAAATCCCAGCGACACAGATTTACTTCCATAGGCGCTATATAAATAAACTGAATTGAAATGGAATTGAAAATGTGATAAAAGCATAATCCAGAAATAAAATTTTGCAATTTTTTTTGGATGAATAAAAAGTTATGAGAGTAAAATCAATTTCTTTTAACATTGATATTATTTTTAATTGCATCTTTTCTATATATTTTTACAGATTATATATATATATTTTTTTTTTCTGTTTGTTTTGCAGATTCAGTTAAAAAAACGCCATTATTTTCAAACTGCATTTCACAGATCACATTTCCTCTTGATGCCCAATATAAACGCTCGCCATTGACCAATAAAAAGGTTGTTGCTAACGTCCACGCTAACCAATAGAAACGCATCTTCACTCTTCCCTCCTAAGAAAAGCCCGCCCCCAGAGGTTAAGAGAACATGATCTGGAAACGCAATTTAAAAAGAATGTAATTCGTAAAACTCGATCTAAATAACTGAAGAAAATCTGTAAAAAAAAATTTTTATTATCTATAAATTTGAAATAACAAAACATAAAAAATATAAGGAAAATACCAAGACTTAATCTTAAAACCTTTTTGATTAAAATATTTTCATTTTAGGATTCAGGATTTTTTCTTTAAATTTCCATTTACAAAACATTTTTTTTTCTTGCAACAATATTGAACCAGATTTCCCTCCATAACTCCCCACCTTACAGACCAATCTTATCTAAGCTTTCCTTTATATACCTTCCAGTTTTAAATGCCAGGGAAGGTCCCAGTGGACAGACCCACTCCTGCATGATCCACTCACCCGTATGAGCTGCAGGTCAGTGAGCGCTCGCACCGTGTAGTCTGGACAGTAGCTGGAGGGGCTGGTGGCGTCCGTCGACTCAAAAGGATCCCTGGGAGAATGCCGCTGGCTCGACACCGGAGACTGATGAACTGTATGTTATAAACAGAAACACAAAATCTGAATGAACATCATCCGCCTAAAGAAAGGACTCCCTGCACAAATAGAAATAATAAAAAGAAGGCAGAAAACAGGGTTTATACAGGAATGAGTAACTCTAATTTAATGCTCTATTAATGCTCTTAGAAATAATTTCAATGACATAAACAAGTACCAATGACTCTCATATATATGTACATAAACATGTATATATTAGGGGTGGAACGGTTCACAAAATCCACGGTTCGGTTCGGTTCACGGTTTCGTGGTCACGGTTTTCGGTTTGGTTCGGTATATGTTTATTGTTAGCCAAAAATCCCATAAAATTTAATGAGTTATAATTATTTTTAATGATCCGCGGAAACCCTGGATCATTTCCGCATGTTTTGCTGCTTTGAATTTAATCATCTG